GGGGGGGGGGGTTCGTTCCTCACTGTGCCTCCTGCCTGTGTGGCCTTGGGCAAGCTGCAAAATTTCAGGATACCCCCCTGAAAAAGGGAATGGGAAGCCACTTTTGTATATTCTCTACCTGGAAAACCCTGAAAAGTGTCGCCATAAGTCAGAACTGACTTTGAGGGCACATGGTTATTATGATTTCCAGCTGTGAACCGGTACAAGACTGCAACTTATTGATTGAGTGGTTGGTTGGTTGCATTTATACCCCAGCCATCTAGTCAACTAACTACTCTGGGCGGCTTCCAACATATATAATAAAATAATATAAAATATAACAACATTATAGACATCTTGACACCCACCAGGTAACGAATGAGAGGAAACGGAAACGTTACGATCCTTTTTTCCTCATTGCCATCCACCACCACCCCGCCACCCCTTTCTGCCTCCGGCCGGGCCCGGCCAGGAAAGAAGAGTGACTCGGCATCTCTCTCTCGGCTTCTCCACCGGGAGAAGCTCCTGGAGCCGCCCCGCTTCCCAGGCCCCCTAGAAAGCGGGGAAGGCAAAGGGGGCGCCCCTCTCTCCCAAAGCCTTCGGCCCCCTCGTCGGGCACCGCCCGCCTGCCCTCTCTCCCTCCCGGCCGCTCCCCCACCTGAGTCTTCTCCACCAGGATCCCGATCTCCTCCATGGTCGCCGCTTCGCTCAAGGCCCGGCTGCTCTCGGCCGCTTCCGGCAAACGCTCCCGGAAGGGGGCCCCGCAGAGGCTTGTGGGAGCTGTAGTCCTCCTCTTTGAAAAGGCGGAGCCGAGACTCGTGATCTCCTCGTCTCTGCCAGCAGAGGGTTTTTATTGCCTCCGAGGAGGAAGGGGACGACGAGGTGGTGAGGGGAGTCAAGAACCCCAGAGCAGAGAGGTGTTGCTTTGGTGAACTACAAATCCCAGAAGGCCCCCGGCCACCACCACCATGTCCCCGCTGGCTAGGGTCTTCTGGGAGTTGTAGTCCTCAGAAAGAAAACGTTTCCGAGCGCGAGTCAATCCCTTCCATGGCCGTCTCAGTTGGGGTTGGATCGGCTATTAAGAGCCATTCGCTTGACAAAAGACCCGGTGCTTGAAGTGTTGTTGAGGGTTCTGGGAAGCGGCTTCAATTTCCCAGTGAGAAATGCACGACGCGAGTCGGCAGCGAGGCTTTGCCTTCCTGCTTCTTCTCTGCAGGGCCTCCGTCCTGATACATTCGGCTTGGCTTGCCGTTGTGCCAGAAACGGATTGAACGGCTGGCCACCAGAAGCTGGCACCCTCAGGCAGCTGGCACGGCTCTCGCTGCGGAAGCCCCTGCCTTCGCTTCCACATTCGTGGAAGACTTTTTTTAAAACCTTCATAAAAAGCCAGCCGTTCCAACCGTGCGGCAGTTCTACCACAGTATATTGTGTTTCTAACCCTGCTTTACCCTCAGCTTCTGAACCTGAGGCGCAGAGACCGCGCCGCCGACTTCTTCTCTGATTGACAAGCGCGCCAAGCGAACCGCGGCGCCTCTTGCCTCTGATTGACAGGAGCGCTCGACCACGCCCATCCCCGGTCCTTGTCCTCCTGCAAGAACGAGTAGCCGGGAGGAAGAGAATTCCATCCCGAGATCCCGCCCCGCGTCCCTTTTCTCCCGGCTTGAGTGACAGCAGGACGAGTCAATGATTCCCTCCCGAGCGGAGCCCTAGGCTTTCCCTATTGGCTGCGTCGTCCGGGTCCTAAGCCGGAGTGGCTCCTCCCACCTTATGGTGGTTTAACTGCAGGTAGGTCGGGAGGTGGAATNCGAAGAGGGAGGCGGTGCGGGGCCGTGGGTTCGAGGGAGGGACTGCTTGGCCTTATTGGTCTCCCTCCCTCCGAGGGCGAACGGTCCCTATTTGCCCTTCATCCAAGAGCATCTCTCCTGTTTCTTCAGAGACCCCATTTACTTAGATGAGGGTGTTCTCAGGCCTGATACACACACACACACACCTCCCACCCCACTCCACACATATATTTGAAACACGATTGGGGTTGCCAAGTGGCCAGGGGATGGTTGGGCTAAGGGAGAATTTTGCCTTTGCCCGCTCGTATTCTCTATATAGCCTCCTTCGGCCAGAAGTAAAAGGTGACCATTTTGGTGCTTGCTAGATGTCACACTTCGGTTAAAGGGACATCTGAGTTGACAGCTTGAGCTCTGTATCTATCTTGACACTTACCAGAGTGACCGACAAACAAATATTTCAGATTCCTATGGCAGAAACCAAACTTTTGCTTAAATACCTCTGTCTGCCAGTCACTCTTATAAGTGGTCAGATATTTATTAACTGCATCCCTCAAATGGATCCAAGGAAGCCTTGAGTGAGGTGCTGTTTGGTTCTCGCTATCTGTCTGTCTATATGTATACTTAAAAACATTTGGCCAGAATCCTATTGATGTTCACTTAAAGTTTACTTAAATTGCTATGCTAGTTGCCTAGTTGATGGGGTGTAGAGCTAAATCTTAGTCATATGCCTGACTGTGCAGCCCTGGCACCTTATCAATTAGCCATAAATACCCTGTTTCCCTGAAAATAAGACCTAACCTGAAAATAAGTCCTAGTAGGATTTTTCAGGATGCCCGTAATATAAGACCTAGCCCCAAAATAAGCCCTAGTGAAGTGAAACCCCACCCTCCACCATTGTGTGGCAACCAAAAGAAAATGACATGACAGTATTTGAATAAATGTATATTATTGTACATGAAAAAAATAAAACATCCTCCGAAAATAAACCCTAATGCGTTTCTTGGAGCAAAAATTAATATAAGACCCTGTCTTATTTTCGGGGAAACACAGTAGCCACAGTAAGTCACTCAAACTTTGCACAAATGCCAGTAGGAATCTGTTTGTTTGTAACAGTGATCTCAAGATTTATCACCAAAAAAGTCAATGTGCCATGTGGGCCTATCTCACACACACCTAACCATTTCAGCTTCACAACAACCCTGTTAGGTTAAGAGACAATGACATGTTAGTTAGCTTGCGAGCCAGTGACAATACCCCAGCAAGCTTCATGACTGAGTGGGGATTTAGAGATGTATTTTCCCAGTCCTAGACTAACACTAAATATGTTGGCATGTTCATGTTGGACTTTATGTGCGGGATCCCAATAATGTGCCTGACCATTTTCATGCATGCTATTAAAAGTCTGTAATTCTGGACAGGCATATATGGAAATAAAACCTGTAGACACAATCAAATCTAGTTCTGAATCAGCATATGAGAGGACAGATGGATGACTTTAATTCTATGAATGCTTACTTGTAAGTAACTCTAGAACTCATTTCTGAGGAAGCTACAATGGAATCTGACTATAGTATGCACATGTCACCCAAGAAGTTTCCAGAGGGGTGTGAGGGGGCATTACTTTACATACATCAGTCCCCTTTGTATACACCGTTTCTGCTAGATGGATGAACGTACGTTTACTATAATGTACAGGGCTTTTCAGACTCCAGCATTTTTATTTTGCTTGAAGTGTTATAGGGATAATGCAAAAATTAATCCCAAGTTTCCATTTTAGAATTACAGTTCCAAATATGCTGTATTCTCTTGGATGGTTCACTGTGAGGAGGGCTAGGGCTCTTCATCTTTCAGGAGGTTTGTTGCTGGTGGTGGTAATGTGTGTGTATGTTTAGAGAGTCAGTGTGGCATAACGCATGAACTTTCAGCTGGAAGGACTGAATCTGGAAATGGATTGCACTAATCTCTGTTAAACTGCACCTGTGGTGTCAACCTCAATTTTTGTTTAGACCTCCATTTTAAAACTCACGGAATGAAAAAAAGTATTTATTAAAATCCCCCCCCCTTTTTTTTCATAAATGCTGTCTTCCCTTTTCATCTGAATATAGAATGAAATAGTTGGGATGGGGACTACCTGGTAGTACAATCTCCTGCTTGATAGGAATTCAAAGATACAGTTCAGATTTTTTTTGACCTTTGAATTCGAGTCTGTTTAGTCTGACTACTGGTTACTATCTCTCAGACTAAACATCTCTCACATGATTCTTTTGAAACAAAAATAGGGAAAATTCTCATGTAACCTACCCTATTTGAACGAGCAGTATATAAATATATATACCTACTGTTCCAACCATCATTTAGCTATTGTTCCAGTCATCAGTATCATCATTTAAGCACCTGGGCATCTTTTTAGGGCACTGATCAGAGACACACATATCTTTTTGGGTTTTTTTTTAAAATGACAGGCATACTGCAGTTTATTTGACCTCTGTGAGCCCATGTGGTTTCACTTTCCTGAAACTCAGTATATATACAAAGGTTTTCTTGTTGCATTAAATAATACTTTTTCTAAACTGAGCTTCGTTCCCACAGGAGAAGCAATTCTTTACTTACCTTTTCTGAGTGAGCTGGTGATCTGCATCTGGTATGAGTGGAAAGATGTAACTATTGTGGCTGCTCTGAGTTCAGAATCCTGGTTTTGAAGGCTGCATGGTCTACACCTGTGATATGAATGACATATGGAGGTGGATCAAGCATCACCCAAAAGGCATTCTCGTCATGGATTGTGAACCCTGACTTTCATCACATTTAAATGTCCTTACCCTGTATCTGGGTTGCGAATATTTGAAGTCCTGTAAGCCTTCTGGTTTATTAACATTCACAACAGAAGTTTCTGGTTTCCATGATAACAATGAGGCGTGATAGGCCACAAGAGCGGGCCGCCAGCTGGCCAGCAGAGCACATCAAAGTGCTCCTTGCCCTATGGACTGAGGCAGCAGTCACTCACGATCTTAGCTCCCACGGGAGGAACCGTGCAGTGTATGATGGCATTTCTCAGCGCCTGGCAGAAATGGGTATTTACCGAACTGGGGACCAGTGCAGGGAGAAAATGAAAGGCCTGAAAGTGGCTTACCGCAAAGCGAAAGAAAATAACTCAGTGGGGCGGCCACCCATCAAGTGTCCATTCTATGATGAGATTGACCAGATAATGACACAGTACATAAACTGCAGACCAGGCTTTTCTTCAGAGGTTGGTGAGGGATCTGGTGTCACTGCAGACAGACAGGAGGGCCTCCCCCTCTCTGAGCCCTGGGGAGCACAGTCCAGCATCTCTGAGCGTTGGGGGTCCCAGGCCTCTGGGCACTGGCTGTCACAGACTGCTGCCTCGGAAAGCCAAGGTACTGATGAATTCAGCTATGCCCAAGCAGAGTCTCAGGATGCATTTGGGGAGATCCAAGTCATTCCAGTTCAGGTGAAGGAAGAGGAATCAGAAGATGAAATATCACCTGAGCTGGGTAAGATCCCTTTTTCATTTTGCCTGATTTTGTATCAGCAGAAATCCTACTGAAGGAAACCTCAAGTGGGACTGATGTAATGAGCCTTTTGATTGTGAAGTGCTGGCTTAATTTGAACATTTAACTGGGGCTTTAGCCTTCTAGGTCCCTAATTCACATTTGTTTCTATCTCTGATATCCACATATGTCTCAAGGACTGCCTCCTCTTAAGAATACTCTCTAGGTGTCTTGCAACATCTGCTGTCTTTGTCCCCTTATATCACAGTCTTTATGCCTAACATGAAATCAATCTTTGCTGTCTCCTAATCAAATAACCTCAGTATAAATTCTAGTCTTGCACAGAAGGCATGTCTATTATATCAGCAGCTCTCTCAACATACTGTATTGATGTTCACTTCAGCTAAGACCTACATCATTTTGGGCATCTTTGTGTTTATATAATATACTGTTTATTTCTGACCTGCCCTTAAGCCTTCTTGAGTCAGTTTGTGCCAGGGTGAGCAACCTTCAGACTCTTGGAGTCTAATTTGGTCCCTCCCCTGAACCTTAATAGCTAGAACTGAGGAAACAGGCAAGCCTCTCCATTCAGCATAAATCACAAAAATCTATTTGCGCTACAGACTCTTGGAGTCTAATTTGGTCCCTCCGCTGAACCTTAATAGCTAGATCTGAGGAAACAGGCAAGCCTCTCCATACATATTCAGCATAAATCACAAAAATCTATTTGTGCTATCCATCACTCTTCCATTGCTGGCATAAAGTGGGACCTGCCCCCCCCAAAAAAACAACCCTTTGTTATTGTTTCATTATTGTTACCGCCGTTGCTTACTGTTGTTTTCCTGTAAATCACCCAGAGATCTATTATTAGGTTCTGATCTACCCTCTTCCCACTCCCTGCTTATGCAATGAAATCTAGTACACTAGATCTTGCAAAATTAACATTGACAACTAGTTACAGGAATAAAATAACCAACTAACCCAGAAATACATCATACATATTTACAGCTAGAAAGCATCAATAATCCAGTAAAAGACAGATTTCAAAAAGGCCAAGAAACAAATTGGTCTTCATAGCTTTCCTAGTATCTGAATTGTGTGGCCTGATGGACTCCAGGTGGCAGTAATTCCCAAGGCATGGAGCCATTACAGAAAAGGTGCTCCCTGTCTCATATGCTATCCTAACCTTTCGTGTCTAGTTGCACTGGCCACGTGACCATGGAAAGTGTCTACAGACAAGTAATGGCTCTACAGCTTGGAAAGGGGCATGAGTACCGCTCCCTAGAGTCAGACATGACTGGACAGTTGTCAAGCGGGACCTTTATAGAGTCAGACATGACTGGACAATTGTCAAGCGGGACCTTTACCTTTTTTAACCTTTCAAAGGCAGGCAAGTAGGAAAGGCCTTTCTTGTGAACCTTAAAATATAGGTAAACTCATAAAGGTAAAGGAGGTCCATCAAGTAATGTAGACCCCAAAGTGTTTAAAGTTTTAAATGTTAAAATCAGGACTTTAAATTGCAGCAGATCACCTAGTCCCCCACTAATACTCAGGGCTGGCATTCTGCAGTGCAGGTTTGCTTTCTGTATCAAGAATTAATATTTCTATCTCTGGCCATACAAATGAATTTCAACAAGAGGCAACCCCTTTCCAGTTCCAGCTGCTAAAAGCCAATTGAGACATTTAGAAGTAAAGACAAGTACTATATGTGTCATAGGGACGTGGTGGCGCTGCGGGCTAAACCACAGAAGCCTGTGCTGCAGGGTCAGAAGACCAAGCAGTCATAAGATCGAATCCACGCGACGGAGTGAGCTCCCGTTGCTTGTCCCAGCTCCCGCCAACCTAGCAGTTCGAAAGCATGCAAATGCCAGTAGATAAATAGGGACCACCTCGGTGGGAAGGTAACAGTGTTCCGTGTCTAAGTCGCACTGGCTATGTGACCACAGAAGATTGTCTTCGGACAAAATGCTGGCTCTGTGGCCTGGAAAAGGGGGATGAGCACCATCCCCTAGAGTCGGACACGACTGGACTAAAATTGTCAAGGGGAACCTTTACCTTTACCTATATGTGTCATAGCTGTAGCATACAGGTCTGAGCTGTTATGGGCTTGAATGCCCACTGAAAGCAAAATGTCAGTATCCTTTTCTAGGTTTTCTGTGTGGGTAAGTGAGAAATATGCCTTCTTACTTGCATTCTGAAGCAATTTTAAACCTGTGAAGATTATACTAATTTGTTTTTGGTTCAGTTTGAATCTGTTCTTATTCCTTATGCACTGGGATTGTTGAGGTTGTCCCTGTTTGAAAATATCCTGAATGTATATGCACTGTTACCTTTCTCTGGCTGGTCACTGTTGGCATTTTGATTCCATTATAGATGTGTCCTCTCCTATAGTTATGGAAACACAACCTGCACCAAGACATCTCATTTCTATGCTTGACCAACGCCCCCACCTTCGAACCCGGAAGCAAAAAGCACAGGGAGATTCCAGTTACCAAAGGAGCTCTGGCCAGAAATGTAATCGTTCACATCAGCTGGAACTGCAGAGAATACAGAGGCATGTTGCTAGCCAAGCAGAGGAGAAGCAGAGCCTTGCTGAGTTCATTCATCATGACAAAGAGATGCGCCGGGAAGATAGGGAGTTCCAGGCCCAGCTCTTTGAGAAGCTTTTTCAGAAACAAACTGAGCTTGTTCAAGCGCTGACTCAGAGACCTCCTGCCAGTCCTACGTCCACTGCCTGTACTAATCCTCTACACACGTTTTATGTGTCCACAAAGCCTGCAGGTGGGGCAGCTGCCACAGGTCCTGGCTCACAACTACAGGCTTTGCTTGAGCAGATAATGCAAGCTGAAGGATCTGGGAAAGGATTAACCAGACTTCCAGTGAAAGAAGCACTTGGAGGAACAGTGAAGGTACCCCCTGAAGTGCAGTATTGGACTGCTGAAGAAATATTGAGGTGGCTTCTGTCTCAACAGACTCCTGGAGATCAGTGCCAAGAGGTGCTGACAGGCCCAGTACCCCCTTCTGTTGTGGGACACATGGGAACAGTTGGAAAGGGTGAGAATCCAGAAGCCCAGATCTCTGTTTTGAATCCATTGTGTGATTCCTATCAGAGTTTGGGACAACAGAATAAAGGTCACCTTCATGGCAAGGCTCAGCAACTCTATGATAGCAGTTGCACTAAAACAGTGGAAACAGACACAGATGTAGAGACACAGCGCCAGACTTTTAGACAGTTCCGCTACCAGGATGCCCAAGGACCTGGGGAGGTTTACAGATACCTGTGGCGTCTTTCTCACCAGTGGCTGAGGCCAGAAATTCGAACCAAAGAGCAGATCATGGAACTACTCGTTGTTGAACAGTTTTTAAGTATCCTCCCTGAAGAGATCCAGACCTTGGTACGTGAATGCCAGCCAGAAAATGGCAAGGAGGCTGTAGCCCTGGCAGAGAGGTTCCAGCTTCACTTTGAGTCCAAGCGTCAACGGGACCGGGTAAGATGTTATTGAAAATTATTTGTTTGGAGTGAGTGAAATAGATGCAAAATCTCATTTATGTTTATGCTTGATCTAGGGACTGCAGACTCTTAGAAGCTGCATCTACTTTCAGTGGAAAATGCTAGCCCCCATTATAAAGGAAAAAGTAACAGAAACCCTGAGGCATTGGACAGGAAACTTTGCAAAGGACAGAAGCCAGACCTGCAACTCCATTTAGTCTTTTTGGTTTTGGTAGATTCTGCATAGCCATTCAAACGTAATGGCTTGAACTGTTTCTCTCTTTTTTAAAAAAAAAATAATAATCTTGGTTACAAAACATATTCTGAGCAACATTTTAATACAGGTAGAACATATACTTCTAAATCTTTTGCAAAAAGTATCTGGTAGTATTATTGGTTTTTCAAAAACACTGGCCAAATTATATGAGCCCCATACCACAGTAGTTACTGTGTTTTTCCATGTATAAGATGCCCCCACGTATAAGACCCCTCTCCCCATTTTTCCAACCCAAAATTAAGAAATCTAAGTGGGGCTTAGCAAAAGGAGGGGGAAAGGGATCAAAGCAATCCCGCAGCTGCACAATTGCTTTGATCCCTTTTCCCCTCGTGCAGCTGTGGGATTCCTTTAATCCATTTCCCCCTCCATTTGTTTTTGTTCTCTCCTCAACTTACTTCCGTGTATAAGACAACCCTAAATTTTTAGTCTAAAGATTTTAGACAAAAGTATCGTCTTATACACAGAAACATATGGTAAATTGTAGTACTGCAGTCAGGCCCCTGCTTATGACCTGAGCTTGATTATAATGTATTCAGGTTGACTCAGCCCTCCAAGGTTGTAAAATGAGTACCTAGTGGCAGGTGGGGGGAGTTGTTTCTGAGTTGTACAACAATGAATGCCTTCACTAACTCAACTTGTGGCAGCTCTCTAACGAGATTTACACCAACTACTTTACACAAGTGAATATAACTACAGTGGTGCCCTGCTTGACGACGGAATCGCTTAACGAGTTTTTTGTGATTGCTATAGCGATCACAAAACAATGGTTTCACTGGGGTTTTTTAGCTTCACAATGATTTGGACCCTGCTTCGCGAACCGATTGTTCGCTAGACGATGATTAAAAACAGCTGTTTGGCTGTTTGCAAAATGGCTCCCTGCTGTTTTCCGGACCTATTTTCGCTACACAGGCATCTCAAAATGGCCGCCCTATGGAGGATCTTCACTGGACGAGCAGGTATTTCCCCCAATGGAACGCATTGACCAGTTTTCAATGCATTCCAGTGGGTTTTTTCCTCCGCTTGATGACGATTTCGCTGCACAGCGATTTTGCTGGAATGCATTATCGTCATCAAGCGGGGCACCACTGTAGTGGTATTTTAGCCATTTAGAATTAGACAGTGTCCTCAAAGGGACTAGAATTTTAAATTCTTGGCAACAAGCAGCACGTTCAAATCTGCTGGATTCATCCATGACCCAACAATAGCAAAGAACAATTTCTGTGTCTTAGTGAAGCTGAAGAGCTTTTAACTTGAGCAGCAGATGATGAATGCAGATGTGGCATTCTTCTAATTTCAGAAACAAGTGATATCTGATGATACAAGGGCAGATTCTCCCCAGGAAGAATTTGATGATGATCGGAGACAACCTTGCAACAAAGACAGTGAAGGAAACACTAGGATAACTGGTATACTTGGTAAGGATTTGCTTATTCCATTACATTAAGTCTTCCATATGACAATTGGACCTCTTCACTGATCTCTCCAGGTTTACTTGCTGTAGTCCTCATTTGGAAAAATCAAGCAAGTTTAGTGCATCTCCCTTTATGTCTCACTCCTGTTGTTTTCAATTGTATATCTTAAAATCTATACAACATCATTTTTCCTTTGCTTACTTCTGGCAAGAGGAACCCCATTCTAATATCTCTGGAACAAGATCTTAAAGAATTTAAATATAGTTTGTTTGACCCATTATTTTTTTGTTTGTGGACCTGGAATAATTTTATGTGAAATCTCACCACCCTCTTTAGATTGGTATACTTGACACCACTACAGAATAGATCAACATTCACTTAATCTCATTTAGGTCTAAGGACACATGGAATAGCACTTCTAATATAGTCACACAGGTGGATGAGATCAAAAGTGTTGGAATGCTTTTTCCTTGGGAGAGCAAGCCGGCATCCTCCCTTTTATGCTTCCACCAACAGCTGGATACCCTTCTTTTCAGGCAGGCTTTTAACAATCATGATTGAATTCCTGAATGCCTTTTAAAGTTAACATAGTTTTTAATGTTTACTCACAAAATGTTTACTCACAAAATATGATTATTCAATCATATTTTAATTAGCATATAATTTAATTGTTTTTTAATGTTTAACTTATGCTTTTATTTCTATTCTTTTAATATTTTGAACCATCTTGGGTACCCTTACCAGGACAAAGGTGGCCTATAAATAAAACAAACAAATAAAATAAAAATAAATGAATAAACAAATAAAAGGCAAGTTAGTCCAATTCCTTCTTCTAAGAAAGACCACACACATATGCCAAACTGCAGTTGGTCAGTTGTTCTGCAAAGGACCAAAACCCAAAATGACTCCAGATGATTCATGCACATTGGTCAAACCTCAAACAGCGTCACTAGCCTAATATTTGGGGAACTGTTCCTGCATGATCCTAAAATGACCAGTTAGACCAACATGATCAGAACCCTAACTTATCCTAAGGGAAATGTTACTCAATGTTTTTAGGTGTGGTAAGAGCAGACGTTTTTTGCAGAACTCAACACAGAACAAGAATAGTGATTGAAAAGTGCACACTTAGTACAATATTTTAGTTCTTTTGGGGTGTTGTAATAAGCGCCCCTGTTTTAATAAATCTTAAAGAACTCAGTTTTCTTGAGTCTCTGGTTTTGATCCGCAAAGGGAATAATTAAGACCTACTTGGAGTATTAGAGAGGAAGATGGAAGAGTGTCAAGCATCTCTCATGTAATATTGAAAATTATTTGTGCTGTATCAAAACTCTTCCGCTGGATTTCTGTTTTCAGGTAGTTTAAAGTAGGAAGGCATGAGCCTCCAGGGATGAACGGAACCCTGCTAAATATGTGGGCCTGGAACTCAGATATTCTGATTTCCAGTTTAGGGCCTTAACCACAAGCCCATCTGTTATTTTTGTATCTTGGCAGGTCTCTCAAGATAAACTTATTCTCCATCTTCAGGTACAGAAGCTCACCTCCGGCTGAGGAAGAGACCAAAGTCAGGTCTGAGGGAACGGACTGTGGCCAAACAGGATGGAGACCACGGAGAAGCAGCAACAAAGCAAAGAAAACTAGATAAAAGTTTAAAGGAGCAGGAGATGACAGAGGCTGGGGAGAAATCAAAACAAACACCAAACTCGGTGCCAGGAAAGCAAACTGGGAAAGTCAAAGGGCAAGGAAGATCAATTCCAGGATGCAATGCTACTGTTGTTGGACAGAGCCAGGTTGAGGGGGGAGCCAAAGTGGAGGGCAGCGGCAGAGTTTCAGAAATTCTAAATGGGGTACCCTCTTCCAATACATTGAGCAGCCAGAAGGCACTAGATGGGCTCGGGCAATCGCGGTTGGCTTTAAATAAGGATGTCACTGCATCCGGCCAACAGCATAATAATGATGGTCAGCTGTCTCCTGAGGTTGATAGACCATCACTTAGTGACAGCATTGACATTTTACTGGATTCTCCCTGGAGTGGAAATGGCAGCGTTGAAATAACTCATGATGGGCCACCTGGTTCAAGGATGCTACCACCCTGTGCCAGTTGCACCATGTTGAAGACTGAGCTAGACGCTGTACGTGAAGAACTCAGGCTAACTCAAGGTAACTATGTAGGCACAAGTGGGGAGTATCTAATGACATAGATTGGTTTTACATTTGGAGAACAATGGTTTGAATAAGAAAATTTCCAGAATCCATGGAGGTTCTCCATATGAATCAGGATGCTGATTTTCTAGAGTCCCTGCTCATAATAGAGACTTTCTTCTAACTTCTCAATGATGTCATGGATTGTTTATGTTTAATTATACTACTTAGCAAGTGTGTTTTATTACTGTCATTTTAGATTTGCTTAGTGTTGGGCATGCAACATTGAGCAGTACATACTGTGTTTCCACGAAAATAAGGCAGGGTCTTATATTAATTTTTGCTCCAAAAACGCATTAGGCCTTATTTTGGGGGATGTTTTATTTTTTTCATGTACAACAATCTACATCTATTCAAATATAAAATGAAAGTATCTACAAATATGAATTATCAATATGTGATTATCAGACTGGCCACTAGAGGGAACCAAACGCTATAGGAAAGCCTCCACCATTTTGCATAAGCCTTCAGTTTTCTGCCCGAGCAGCATCCTAAAATTCAGAGCTGGATGAGCTGGCAAGGCAGGAGAAGGGGCGCTAACACAAGCTGAACTGCCTCCTAGGAGAGGTTTCCCACCCCCGCCCTTCCTGCCTTCCAGCTAGCTCCTTCCCCAATACTCGTGAGTAAACAAGGAAATGAATTCTTAATTGTCTTTGAAGAAAACCCACAGAGCAGTTGAGATTGTGTGTGTGTGTGAGAGAGAGACAGACAGACAGACAGACAGACAAAGACTCAAGAACAGGAACATGAGAGGATTTCAACTCAGTTCTTACTCATAGAGACCCCATCAAGATAAAAAGTATAGATTCAGGGGAGTTGTAGGTCCAACAGAGTGCTATAATCCGCACTTTTCATTATCCGTGGGAGGGCTTGGAATTGAATCCCCTGCATATTACAGGAGTCTTACTGTATAGAGAACTGAAGTGGCATAGTCTCTACCCAGAAGAATGACTGAAGCTAAAATTCTGGCCCATAACCCATGCCTGCATGAGGCTGATGATGTCCTCAGCAAGGGAAATATTAAAACTCAACATTTCCTACTTCTGCCCCAAGGCTTGCACAGCTCCTGTGTAATCCCTTTCATATTGGGAAGCTATTGGATAGGAGGGAAAAGTTTTTAATTACCAAAAATTGCTGCCACTGACAAAGTAATTTAGTACTTTAGTAATTAATTAAAGACTCCCTCCTCATCCTGCAGTTTTCACAATTTCGAAACAACAAAAAGAATTACATAGAAGCCTAGGGATGAGGTAGGGAATTTTTAGTTTCTGAAAAATCAATAAGGATGTCACTGCATCCGGCCAACAGCATAATAATGATGGTCAGCTGTCTCCTGAGGTTGATAGACCATCACTTAGTGACAGCATTGACATTTTACTGGATTCTCCCTGGAGTGGAAATGGCAGCGTTGAAATAACTCATGATGGGCCACCTGGTTCAAGGATGCTACCACCCTGTGCCAGTTGCACCATGTTGAAGACTGAGCTGGACGCTGTACGTGAAGAACTCAGGCTAACTCAAGGTAACTATGTAGGCACAAGTGGGGAGTATCTAATGACATAGATTGCTTTTTGGTTTTACATTCAGAGAACAATGGTTTGAATAAGAAAACGTAATTAATTAAAGACTCCCTCCTCATCCTGCAGTTTTCACAATTTCGAAACAACAAAAAGAATTACATAGAAGCCTAGGGATGAGGTAGGGAATTTTTAGTTTCTGAAAAATCACTCCCACTGATGATGTTATCGGCCTTACATGGGTACAAGTTGCAGAACATGATTGGGAATGCCACTGAAAACAGCATCTCCATGACAAGTCCTGTAAAGACTCCCTCCTCATCCTGCAGTTTTCACAATTTCGAAACAACAAAAAGAATTACATAGAAGCCTAGGGATGAGGTAGGGAATTTTTAGTTTCTGAAAAATCACTCCCACTGATGATGTTATCGGCCTTACATGGGTACAAGTTGCAGAACATGATTGGGAATGCCACTGAAAACAGCATCTCCATGACAAGTCCTGTTGCCCCCTTATAATATCCTTGAAAACAATATGTCTGTTCAGTGGCATAAGAAATGAGTCTGACATTATGACATGAAAGTGGGCCAATACCCATGGTGGCATACTGTATAAGGTGCCTTACATGAGCACTTTTACCTAAGAAGAAGGAGCATATAATTGTAGTTAATATAATAATTGAAAAAAGCCTGTTTTATAGTCTGAAAGAAGGTGTCACAATCCAGGGGTTTTCCGAAGGACATGTGAGAATGGAATTGGTAGGTATGATTGGTAACAGCACATACATATGAGAACATGTCATAATCATCTACAGAAAGTGTTGCAAATATGTGGCTTTGGGCAAAGATTCAAAGGAAAGGAGATACAGTGGTGCCTCGCAAGACGAATGTAATTCGTTCCACGAGAAGTGCTGTCTTGCGAAAAAAATCTCATGGATTGTTCATGTTTACTTATCCTACTTAGCAAGTGTGTTTTATTACTTTCATTTTAGATTTGCTTAGTGTTGGGCATGCAACATTGAGCAGTACATACTACAAGAGAGCAGTATGATAGAAGACACAAGAGAGATGTGAGCAGTAACAGAACAGAAAGCTAGAGTGATGAGAGAGGGCATAATTTGGGATAAAGAGCTTTACATAAAAGCTCTGGATTTTGAAAAATTGATCCAGAAGGCCAGTGCATCAATATAAGGCAGTGTGTGTGAGAGGAGCGGGATATAAGAATCGGAGAGAAATTACTGACTGAAGAAACATGACAAAATGAAAGATTCCAGAATATTACAAGGATTGTTACTGATGCTCTCTTGCTATCACATTATGGTTGTGGCCAGCGCCTTATTTTAATTTCCTTTCTTATCATTTGTACAGCTTCCACTTTGTATGGGCTAAGTGGTGCCTCTTTACGAGATTTATCAGAGGCTCTTGGCACTGTTGTGCATATCCTCAGCAGCAGGAAGTCGTCAGCAAAAAATGCATCCCAGAATGTTGCTGAAATCTCTAGTAGGCCAACATGGCAAGAGAGAAATGTAAGTTTACCCTCTATGCTTAAACAAAACTGTTTCTTCCATATTATCTACCTCTTTTCTTCAAAAAGGGGGATGTTGTTATACCTTTTCGCACACGACTGGTAAACAGAGCATATAGCAAGGCTTCCGGAATACAGTCGTGGCCCACATAACAGTTACCCTGTATTACGACGAATCCGCTTCACGACAATGTTTTTGTGATTGCAATTGCAATCGCAAAACAATGTTTTAAATGGTTTGGTTTTTTTTTGCTTTGCGAAGATCGGTTCCCTGTTTCGGGAACCGATTCTTTGTATTACGACGATCAAAACAGCTGATCGTCGGGTTTTCAAAATGGCTCCCCGCTGTGTTTTTGGACGGATTCCTTGCTATATAGGCACCTAAAATGGCTGCCGTAGGGAGGAGCTTCGCTGGACAGTGAGTTTTTAGCTCATCGGAACGCATTGTTGTTGCTGTTTAGTCATTTAGTCATGTCCGACTCTTTGTGACCCCATGGACCAGAGCACGGCAGGCCCTCCTGTCTTCCACTGCCTCCCGGAGTTGGGTCAAATTCATGTTGGTCGCATCGATGACACTGTCCAACCATCTCATCCTCTGTCGTCCCCTTTTCTTCTTGCCTTCACACTTTCCCAACATCAGGGTCTTTTCCAGAGAGTCTTCTCTTCTCATGAGATGGCCAAAGTACTGGAAAACTGCAGGATGAGGAGGGAGTCTTTAACTACTGTTTGAGCTGTGATGAGCTGTTTGTTTGAAAGCATTTTTGCTGTTAGAATTACTTAAATTAATGGCCTCTAAGCCCTGTTTAGAGAGCACTTGAGAAAAATTCGCAAACCAGGATTTTATTGTGGGGTCAGACATTTGTTCTATTAAACACATCTTGGGTCATTGTCATTGCATATCTGGCATAGCTTAATCCAATAGTTAAACATTCTAAGAAGACATACATTGGATACAGCTACCAAACCAAGTTCTGGCATACGCGGGCGAACGTCTTGGTACACATTGTCATTGCATATCTGGCATAGCTTAATCCAATAGTTAAAAATTCTAAGACATACATTCGATACAGCTACCAAACCAAGTTCTGCTCTAATGGCATAAGCGGGCGAACGTCTTGGTACACCCAAGGTTCCCCTTATAAATTTGTTCTGAACTTTTTCAATTTTCTTATTAATATCCAGTCCTCATATTTCTGCACCAAAGATTAGTGTTGGCAATACTTTCCCTTAAATACTTTTATAACTGTTTGGAGGGAGCCGGGATATTTGAATGGACTATAGACGTAGATTTTGCTTGGTTACTAATAGTTTTCATCCTTTCCTTAGCATTTCTGAAATGTGAGAGGACCTGCACTTGATTCAGCATCAAGAAATTCAGCAGCAATACTTAACAACACTAGGATGAGGACATGACTTGAAAAGGAAGGAAAAATGCCCTCAGCTCTTGGTTGTCTGAGACTTGTAACTGACCTTGCTACATCCATACCCTGCCCCACTAGAACATCATGTTTAATTACTCAGGCTACAGATGGCTCTGGGGCTGATGCTCTTTGCCTGCTGTAGTGAAGGTATTGTCATTACTGTGTCTTTTTCATGTTATCCTAGGTTTTATTTGTTTGTTTGTTTTTATACAGTAGTAGCTCTTTCTTCCCTTTCCTGCTTAGATCAAAATAAAGCAACTGGGAATGATTCTGTGTACTCTTTTCGGGGAAATCAAGAGGATGCGTGTGATGATTTAATTGCTGCACGTCCCTGGGGAGATGGAGAGTCTTCATTAAGGCATGAATATTCTTGTATGAAAGCTGTGGTCATCCTCCAAAAGAAATCTTGGGCTAGACAAAGGTCTGGAGATTGTACTGTCTGCTTTTATATAAGGTTGAAAAAAAGCCCATGCATTTTGTTGAATTGCAGTACAGCATTATTGTACTTTTACCACCGATGGGAATTAAGACTCCAATAGCATCTGTTGGACCACATTTTGCCAACTACATCCTAGAAACTGGGAACTGCAGGCACCAAGCAGAACCTTTTGAAGCTCTGCTCTTCACCTTTAAAACAGGATCCCCTGCAACTGTTGGAGTATATTCTAGGCTGCACTCTTAGAGCAATACAGTACTGAGTATTGCTCATACACCCTGGAAGCATTGTCAGTGCACAACCTGAAGAATGTAGGAATTCTTTATCAGGTTTGTCAACATGGAAAAGGTCCTTCAAAATAGAAAATAAACACTGCAGTCCTTTGTGTCTACTATTCAGAATTTAGCTTAAGTGAGTACAGAACTGCAGCCTTTGAAGAACCACCTGAATGAGCTGCACTGTAGTTGTATATAAAATTCCAGCAGCACAAGTTCGCGCTGTGCTGAAAAGCAATAACCAGTAGGGTTGAGTTCATCGTGATACAGTGTTGTTAATATGCAACAGCTTCCAATGGGCCAAAGAGTTTAATAACAGTAATGATAATACTGTAGATCTAAACTCCTAGAATGTTATTAAGTCTTCAATACATTGTCGTAGAATGGTTTGGATGTCCAAGACAGGAGACACATGACTAATTACCGCAAGTATTATAGGTGAATACTAAAATCAACATTTAATCTCGGCAAGTTTAACGGGTTTCAACGAAGCTGAAGTACAAGGATCTTAGAAATCCTGGAAAGCAAAGCGTTCCCGTAGGTTCCAATGAGGAGACCGACTGGGACCGAACGATCGTCGGCCACAGCTAGTCCGAGCTGCCAAGGAGCGCCGCTTCTCCCCGGGGCCTTCGCCCTCCTGGCACCGGAGCTTTCTACGGAAGCGGGAGCCTCGTCGACGATCGGGCGCGGACGGAGAGCCCCTCACAGGCTCTGCTTTCCGGGCGCCAGAGGGCACAAACTCAGCAGCGTCTCTATTATCGGGCCTCGCCGGCAGAAAGAAGCCTTCACCCCCCACACACACACAAAAAAAACCCCTCTTCTGCCCCGCGAACCGGACGTATCGCGAGAGAGTCGCGAAGAAGCGCGCCCGTTATTGCGGGAGCCCTCAGAGGAGCGCTTCGAGCCCGCAGTTGTGCCACAAAAGGCGGCCAAACCGGGAAGGGGGGGTGCGGCAGCTCCCCTCATGGGAGTCGGTGCGAGAATTGTGAAGAAACCGAGTCTCTCTGGCCTGGCGGAGGTTGCTGGGTCACCAACTGAACCCCGACCCTCCACCTTGGGCGGGCCTTCCTGCTCCCGGAAGTAGATCAAGAAGTTCCGGGGGCGGGATCGGAGGTTTTTAAGTAGGCCCTGACGAGACCCAGGTAGGTGCTGCTCCTGCTGAGGGGGAAGTCGGGGGGGAGGGGGGCTTGGCTTGGCTTGGCGGTTTCTCTCAACACACGTGCTCTGTTTCTCCGAAGTATAGACGGGTGGGTCCTTCTTTACGCTTCTGGTGACTGGCCATTCGGTTTGAATCCGAATAAGGAAGTCTGTTAGGGGGAGTTTGAATCCGAACCGGGATGCTCCCCCTGAAGAGCTGAAGGCGGGTCCCTTCAGGCGTTTCATCCTTGACGTGCAACATTCGTCTTCACCCCCACTACTT